TTTCCCGATTTGATTCAGGTAAGGTTCACGGATCCTTAGCTCGTGCCGGAAAGGTGAGGGGCCAGACTCCTAAAGTTGCCAAGCAAGACAAGAAGAAGAAGCCCCGCGGCCGTGCTCACAAGCGGATGCAATACAACCGCCGCTTCGTCACCGCCGGTAAGTTATTCGCGCTCTCTGTTCCTTCTCTTCCCGATTATTTTCTATTTATTTTTTGAAATTTGTGTTTTGGTTATCTGGATTAAACAGTTGTTGGCTTTGGTAAGAAGAGAGGGCCGAACTCGTCCGAGAAGTGATTGAAGAAATGTAGAATTTCATTAGTAGAAATCTGCAATTTATATAAATGTTCTTTTGATCTTAAATTTTGTTTTGCTGAACAATGTGGTTTCTGTGCTGAGATCATCTTCTATTTCAAGTATTTTGTGTTTGGGATTCGAAGTAGACTTTTGCAATTCAGTTCCCATTTCATTTTTCTACTTCTACATGATTATTGATCATGATTAAAAAATGTCATATAAACTCGTGAAATCTCCATTTGGGTTGCTCATATAAACTCATCAATCTGTTCAGAGACAAATTGATGTTTCGTGAGAACATAGAGATTCTGAAATCATTTGCAATGTATTTGAAGATCAATTCATCACTTGCATAATATCCCAAGTATTTTGACAAATCATAGTTGCATTGTCTTTGTCAATAGACGGATGATCGCAATAAATTATGTAGCACGACTTTTATTACAATTGCCCAAATGGATTCCAAAAGCTTGAGAAAGTGTAGCAACGCGAGTTGAAGGGAGCGGCTAAGGAGTTAACGCTCGAGTTTGATTTCAATACATCTGTCTTTGTTGAATGTTTGTGCAAAACTTCTGGGAACAAAGGGTGGAGAAATTGGCTTGACAGCCACCCATGAAAAGAAAACCGGGCATCCAAAGTAGCACATAGTCGAACTTAGGGGTGAGTTCGGTTTCAACGGTTCGGTTTTTACCTAAAACCAAAGACAGAATGGAAGGCATTTTTGCGGTGCGGTTCGGTTCGATTTTGTAAAAAAAAAAGAGAAAACCAATCGTCATACGGTTCGGTTTTTAGCGGTTTGAATTTTGGTTTTTTTCAATTCATTCGGTTTTCAAAAAAATTAATTTAAAAGTAAAATAATATTTTAGGTAGAGACCTATTATTAAATAGATATGCCAAACAATTGATAGAGAGTAAAGTTTGCAAACCTACAAGTAAAATAATAAATAAACTACAATTAAAAGAAAAAAACCTAAGAGAAATGTTGTAATTTGCAGTAAAAAACTGTAAAATTGCACTAGCTGGCAGCTGCCTGGAATTATTCCTGGAACCAGTTCCATAAATTTCCAGTAGCTGCCTAATAGTATCATCACACCCACTAACACAGCCTGCCACAAAATAGAAACACACAACATAAGTCCATAACCTAACAATTAGTTCTACTCCGTCAATCAAGCAAGATTTGAGGGGTCTAACTAAAATTGCAATTATCTTTCCAAAAACTGCAAGTATCAACCCAAATTAAAATGGAAGGCACATCTTTGAGATGCAAGAATCAATATTCAATATTAAACCTGCAAAAAGAACATTTATATGCATTCCAATTAGCTAGGATATACTATTAAAAATTGAACACAATACCAAAAAAATAGTGTTGCCATAACTAATAGACCTAACCTTCTTCGTTTATCTTGTAACTTTTGGAGGCAATTTAGACCCTTCAAGTCCACCTTGATTTGAAATTTCTAAACATAAAAAGTAAAAACACAAGAAATATTATTTCCAAAATAAAGTCATAAAGGAATAAATTTTAGAAGAAGGAAATTCATTCTAAAAGACTAAAAAAAATCACCTTTCTCAAGTTCTTCATAAAATTCCATCTCTTCAATTGTAGGCTCGTGATGTAAAGCAACATGAGTACTCTTAAGCCAATTTTGTGTGCAAATTAAGGCCTCAACCATTTTGGGGCTCAATGAACTACGAAAACTTCAATTCCTACGAAAACACAATACCAATTCAGAACTAGAAAACTTCTGCAAAATATGAGAGTTATACACTTATACAAGAGAAAACTTCAATTCCTAGAATGATTTGATAAAAAAAATTGAAGAACATATGATTTCATACCTTCTTGGTTAGATGCTTCAATCTTGGACAAAAATTGAAGATTCTCGTCAATCTTGGACAAAAATTAAAGAACTGCGATGGTGGCCTGCTTCAGAGTGACTAATGAACTTCCGAGTTGGACTCAAAGAACTTCCGATGGTGGCTTGCTTCTCCGCGATGGTGGCCTGCTTCAGAGTGACTAATGAACTTCCGAGTTGGACTCAAAGAACTTCCGATGGTGGCTTGCTTCTCCGCGATGGTGGCCTGCGTGCGATTCGGAAGTCGGAAGTAGGAAAGTCGGAAGTGCTGGACTGCTGGACTCAATGGACTGCGTCTCTGATTTGAAGATTTGAGGGGTCTAACTATTGACCGTAAACCTAAAAGGCATGACTATTGACTAAGTACTATTCGGTTAATTACAATTCGGTTCGGTTTTGAATAGCCAAAACCGAAACCGAAACCGAATTAAATCGGTTCGGTTCGGGTTTTTGAGTTTGGTTTCGGTTTTCACGGTACGGTTTTTTTTTGGTATTGTTCGATTGATTTCGATTCGGTTTTCGGTTTTTGGTTTTCCGGACCCAGCCCTAGTCGAACTCTGAATGAGATCAAAATTGCTTAAATAGATTAACATACAAAGTAACAAATTTTGTAGGATAAATTTTTATATAACACAATTTGGTCGATAATGGTTGGAGTTTAGACGAGTTTCTCTCTTGGATTGGGTAGCAGGAAGTGTATCACCAAAATGAATAGGGAACTTCCCTCTAGTTTGATTTCCACATAAACATTGGTTCATTACGTGGCATTAAGTTCAAAAATATGAACAAACTTTATATTATTGTATTCTACTCCGTATATGGTTAGTAATATACTCCCTCCGTCCCTAAATAAAGTTCTTCTTTCGTTTTTTCTTTGTCTCTAAAATCTTTTTACCCCTTACTTTTTTATACCTTACCTATCACATTATACTTTTTTACTACTTGGTAATAATCTACCTATCACGTCTTACTTTTACACATCACATCAAGGGTATTTTTGAAAAGTCAATACAAAAATATCTTTCTCTTAAATCCTCAAAAAGTCAAAAATGGAACTTTATTTAGGAACGGAGGGAGTATTAAAAACAATAAGGCTAATGGTGTACCTCATTTGTATACTAGACTAGAACATACACTATGCGCTTGTAATCTATAGATCATTTTTCGCTTAAATCCTCAAAAAGTCAAAAATGGAACTTTATTTAGGAACGGAGGGAGTATTAAAAACAATAAGGCTAATGGTGTACCTCATTTGTATACTAGACTAGAACATACACTATGCGCTTGTAATCTATAGATCATTTTTCGCTTTTTGTTTGGTGTACAAATTAGGTACACTATTTTGATGTTCCCCTAGCATGAGCTTGCACTTCTTTGAGAGATAATACCCACTGTCGCACCATCTATTTTATGCATCTTGATCTAACACTGCTACTTTAGATGTTAATTTGAATTGTTTCTAATAATTCAAAAAGTAAATTTTATAAATGGTCTCTAACTATAAGTAATTTTCTATATTTAGTCTTCATTTATAAGTTATTCTATAAACAAACTTCAATTTTTTAGAATTATTATATAAATTGTCTTTTTCACCAAATATGACAAAATATTTTGAGTATAATCTCAAAATGGTCCTTTCTTATAAGGTTTTTTCCAAAGTACGAAGTAATTCTCAATAAGTAAAAGTTATTAACATTTAATTTCAAGTTTAAAATTTGGATGTTTGAATTTCAAATGACAAGTGGAGATGTAGATTTCAAATTCAGTTTTGTTATGAATTAGAAAAATGTAGCTTAAATCCAAACCTAATTTTTTAAAGATTTTTGAGATGAAATTGAGCTATATCCTTGATTTCAAACCCAAATCCAAGTTCTCACATATATATATATATATATACCATAAGGTAAGAGTTCATTTTTTTTTTCAATTTAATAATTTAATAAGTTCAATTACTCATCATTTTGTACTTTGAAGTGAAAATTATGAGTTTTATTTAGCTCGGTTAAGTTCAAAAAAATTTAACCTAAGGGTCTGTGTAATACACAAAATTGATGAAATTAGATAATGAATTGTACACAAAATTGATGAAATTAGAATTGAATTGAGAGTTGAAATTGTATGTAATTGATTTGGATGTAGTTTAATTCTCCAATTCCGATATATTTTTTGACACTACCAATTCCAAATTCACATACTTTTGTGATACCAAACAACAAAATTAGAATTATTGTCCTCAATATAAAAGAATGCCAGTCTTCATAAATACGAAAAAAATAACGTATTCAAAATAATGCAATTTCAATAAACTAATACTGTACAATAATTTATGTGTATAAGTTACAAAAAAAATGTATGTATAAATTTTGTGACGGGGTGATGTGTTATAGGTAGTTCGAAAGAGATAGGAATATTTTCTTTGTTACAAGATCTTAATCTATCGTACTTTAGACGGCACATAATTATTACTGATTAGTGATTGTAAGTAGAGTCCTACTAAATTACCCCCTCTAACCTAAAAACCTTCACTACTACAAAAAGAGGCAGATTGACTGCCTCAATTGCATCGCTTATTAAAATAACCGATGCAAAAGGTCAAAAGCATTTGTTGTTTTAAAGAACTGATGCCTTTGATATTTTTTTAATAAGAAATAAAAAATAAAATTAGGCATTAGCATCGGTTATTTGGAAACCATTGCAATTTATCAATAGCATCGGTTGTTCCAAACAACCGATGCTAATAATCATTTTTTATTTTTGATTTTTATGAATAAAAAAAGTGAAGACATCGTTTGTAAGGTATAACCGATGCTAAAAGCTTATGCATCTCTTCAAGTTATCACCGATGCTATCATTTTCGTTCTTATTTACTCCGGGTAGATCTGGTCCTGTTAAGCTTCGCTTCTTCTTTCTTCGCCCGCTGGTTTCAGTCGTCCAAAGTTGTCTCTGTTGCCGTCTCCATGCCAACACCGTCGCCGTCGCTCTCCACTCGTGCGGGAGCAATTTTAGAGGTTCATTTCGTTCTCTCTTTCGCTCTCATATATCTCTCACTTCAGATATTATGAGCGTGCTGTAAATGATTCACATTGAGATACTAGGATGCCTCAATACTTTTTAATCTGAATCTTACGCAGGAGATTTGGGTATGAATCTAGGTGAATTGCAGATTGAAATCCCATACCGTCACTATTCATCCTCATACTTCGCAGGTTTGATTTCATATGCTTCCCGTTCAAATTTAAATCCAATTTTGAGGTATTTTGTGTGATTTGCTTTGCCTAATCACATTATAAAGTTTTGTGATCTTTCCAAACAAAGAATTGTGATTTTTGGCCAATTTGGGAATTCGAGCACTGTTCACAGTGCAAGAGGTCCAATGCAGATTAGTTTTTAACTCCACTATCTGGTGTTCCTTTTGGGTGATCCCACAACTGATTCACAACCCTTTGCTCACTTTTATAGTGTTTTTACTGGAATTTATTGTTGTTCGAGCTTTTATCGGGTTCATTAATTTATAATGGTTAGTAGTGGTACTCGGGTGTGGGTGGGTGGGGGGGGAACTTGACAACCTTTTCTAAGGATACGTTGGCATCAGTTTGTATGACTAAAATTTTATTAACATACTTATTGATGAAACTTGATTAATTCTTTTTCCTTAACACTAAATTTTTTATATCTAAGCAGTTGTACTTAATAATAATCAATTTGCATTGTCACTCATCGTAGATCAAGTCCTCAGTAGGTGAAGCCTCTTCAACACAAGCCACACCTTTAAATACGGTGAGAATGAAGTCACTTCTTTATTTCAATTGCTTTATGTGTTTCTCTCTTGGCCTCTTCCATAATGGTGTTCAAATGCCTTGTTGATGGGTAATGTTTTTTTGGTGTGAAGGTTCAACATCCAACCTCCACTAGACAATCAACACAGACAGTGACATCGCCTCCACCAATTGCCTCTGTTGTGGCAATGTATGAACCCAATAATATAATCACGTTTTATATCTTGATTAGTTGTGCAACTCTTCTTTGAATATGAATTTTGCTCTGCTTTCATGTGCAGCCCATACTCCCACAATCTGCTCCCGAATCTGCCACAACTCTTCCAAATTCCGCTTCTTCTGTGTGAGAAACTGTCTTACATTTTTTTTACAGTAAAATTTAATATGTACCCAAAGTTTATGTTTCAAGACCACAATTTGGTTTTTTATCTATTACCTTTTAAGGAATTTTTGTTTTTGTTTTTCTTTTTATTTTTGCTCAGTTCTGAGCCAGATGTCTATGATCAGGCAATATCGAACCTTGTAGCAGGAAGTACCTTAGAGTCCACAATTCCAGAAATTCTTAAAATTGGCGGGGGCAATTGGGACCGGGAGGCAGTCATGTGTGCTTTGCGTGCTGCATATAACAATCTTGAGAGAGCTGTCGATTACTTGTGTTCGGTGAGTTCATTTATTTGAAATATCAAATTATATTGTGAACTTTTGAGTATACCACATATGAAGCAAATGAACCGAGATGTTGGGTCTGACATCCATATTTTTGTTTTAACTCCTAGACCTTTTGATTATTTTGGTACAAGCACAAAGCAAGCTATTTAAGCAGTTATGCCTTTTTCTGTATATCTTCTTTCTTTTAGCAATCCTTTTTATTTTTTTGCTTTCTTAGAGAAGGTTCAGGTTTGAAATTTTATTACGGAATATGTATTTATTTTGTTAATTTGGAACCATAAGTTTTCTTGAAATATACTCCCTCCGTCCCATGAAACATGAGACTTTTGCTTTTTAGGAAGAATTTAAGGGGAGTGTATTTTGGTATTGAATTTCCAAAAATGTCTTTTGATGTGATGGGTAAAAGTATGATTTGATGGATAGATTATTAGTAAAAAAAGGTATGATGTGATAGTTAGGGTATGAAAAAATAAGGGGTAAAAGTGACTTTTTAATAGAAATGAAAAGTATTTTGTGGGACTGATAAAAAAAGAAAGGAGAAAGGTTTCACGGGACGGAGGGAGTATAAAATTAGAAATAAGTTTCCTCAATCTTCTTACCATGCAAAATGCATAGGAGTTCGCAAAATGTACGGGATGAAAACTGGCATTGCCCTAAATGCAGAATTAATAAAGTCAGACCAACAACAATAAGGGGAACATCTTTGAGAGGAGCACAATTCTTTGGTGTTGGTTTTTATGGACTAATCTTCATGGGATGCTGTGATCATTTACTTGTGTATGTCTCTTGTCTGATAGTAAGTTGTTGGCTTTTTAGTTAATTCCTCTTATTGGAAATGACCATTTTATTATTCTATTTTAAAGTTAAAGGCATAAGATGGCTGCCTTTTTTCTATAAGCCAGAGAGCTGTGCAGCTTCTTTTATTTCTATGCTGCTAGGTTGCTTATCTTATCGCATGTTTTTTGTTGCATTTGGTGCAGGTTACAGGATCCAATGAACTCAGGTTCTTGCTTCAGATACTACAACGAAAATAGCAAAGGCATCAGTTTTTTAAAAACAACCGATTCTAATACTTTTTTTTAAATTAATAAAATAGCAAAGGCACCGGTTGTTTAGAAACAACCGATGCTAATACTTTTTTTTAAATTAATAAAATAGCAAAGGCATCGGTTGTTTAGAATCAACCGGTGCTAGTACCTTTTTTTTAAATTAATAAAATAGCAAAGGCACCGGCTGTTTCCAAAGTGATGCAATTGAATTTGACCAATTGCATCGCTTGCATTTACATCGGTACAAAACCGATGCTAAGGGTATAAAACAACCGGTGCCTTTGCCCTTTTTGGAAAGTCAATACAAAAATATCTCTCCCTTAAATCCTCAAAAAGTTAAAAATGGAACTTTATTTAGGGACGGAGGGAGTATTAAAAACAATAAGGCTAATGGTGTACTCCATTTGTATACTAGACTAGAACATACACTATGCGCTTGTAATCTATAGATCGTTTTTTGCTTTTTGTTTGGTGTACAAATGAGGTACACTATTTTGATGTTCCCCTAGCATGAGCTTGCACTTCTTTGAGAGATAATACCCACTGTCACACCATCTATTTTATGCATCTTGATCTAACACTGTTACTTTAGATGTTAATTTGAATTGTTTCTAATAATTCGAAAAGTAAATTTTATAAAAGGTCTCTAACTATAAGTAATTTTCTATATTTAGTCTTCATTTATAAGTTATTCTATAAACAATCTTCAATTTTTGAGAATTATTCTATAAATTGTCTTTTTCACCAAATATGACAAAATATTTTGAGTATAATCTCAAAATGGTCCTTTCTTATAAGGTTTTTTCCAAAGTACGGAGTAATTCTCAATAAGTAAAAATTATTAACATTTAATTTCAAGTTTAAAATTTGGATGTTTGAATTTCAAATGACAAGTGGAGATGTAGATTTCAAATTCAGTTTTGTTATGAATTAGAAAAATGTAGCTTAAATCCAAACCTAATTTTTTAAAGATTTTTGACATGAAATTGAGCTATATCCTTGATTTCAAACCCAAATCCAAGTTCTCACATATATATATATACCATAAGGTAAGAGTTCATTTTTTTTTCAATTTAATAATTTAATAAGTTCAATTACTCATCATTTTGTACTTTGAAGTGAAAATTATGAGTTTTATTTAGCTCGGTTAAGTTCAAAAAAATTCAACCTAAAGGTCTCTATGATACACAAAATTGATGAAATTAGAATTGAATTGAGAGTTGAAATTGTATGTAATTGATTTGGATGTAGTTTAATTCTCCAATTCCGATATATTTTTTGACACTACCAATTCCAAATTCATATATTTTTGTGATACCAAACAATAAAATTAGAATTATTGTCTTCAAACCCAATTCCATAATTTGAATTTCGTGTACCAAACGTAATATAAAAGAATGCCAGTCTTCATAAATACGAAAAAAATAACATACTCAAAATAATACAATTTCAATAAACTAATACTGTACAATAATTTATGTGTATAAGTTTCAAAAAAATGTATGTATAAATTTTGTGACGGGGTGATGTGTTATAGGTAGTTCGAAAGAGATAGGAATACTTTCTTAGTTACAAGACCTTAATGTATCGTACTTTAGGCGGCACATAATTATTACTGATTAGTGATTGTAAGTAGAGTCCTACTAAATTACCCCCTCCAACCCAAAAACCTTTAATTATAACTTGTTTGTAGAATCATCCATATATGTATATCAAATTATAAATTACTCTATCGATCCTACTAATAATTTATTCTCTCTCTCTCATCTAATGAGTCTTACTCGTGTGATGATTGTGTGCATATATATAATCCTAATTATAAATTGCAATAGTGAACTTATAATTTATTAATTATAATAATGCCTAGCAGGGGCTCGTATATGATGAAAAGAAACCCTTGAATTCTTTGTAGAAGAAGAATAATGTTTTCGCGGATTTTCGGGAATAATAAGTCTAAGCATGAATCAAAAGCCGGCTTTAAAACCCTTCACAAATTAACAGAGGTAATACTATACATATATTCTTTTTTTATTATCACTATATGCTTAATTATATCAAAATTCAAAGCTTAATGACCTTAATCATGCTTTGTATATATGTACATAGATTCTTTTTTGTTTGTTTTGTTTAATTTTTTTTTGTGATATTTATTTATGTGTATTTTTTTTGATTTTGTAATTCGATCACATGTTAAGACGTTGGCGATGCTTGAGAAGAAGGAGAGGGTTCTTCAAAGGAAGGCCTCTGAAGAAATGGAAAAGGCCAAAGAATTCACAAGAACTAAGAACAAAAAGGGTATGTTCATGCTACATATCATTTTTACACATTCATCTTTTAAAGTCCTTCCCATTTTCACTTTTAAAAAATTCAAGAAAAGATATTTTTGTATTAATTTTTCTAAAAAATATTTTGATGTGATTGGTATGGATAGATTATTTTAAAAAAAATATAAAGTGATATGTAGGGTAAGAATTAGTAGAAATAAAAGTGATTTTTTAATAAAAAGAAGAAAAAAAGAAAAAGAGTTAAAGGGACGGAAGGTCTGCTTTGTGATCGAACTTAAGAAATTGTATACTTGAGATCTATACATATTAATTACACTTTAATTTAGAATTAGTAGAAAAAGAAATTGGTAACAACAACAACAACAACAATAATAATAATAATAATAATAATAATAATAATAATAATAATAATAATAATAATAATAATAATAATAATAATGGTATTTATTTTGAAGTAGATAAAAAAGAAAATTTTATGAAATGTGGAAGAAGTTGATAACTATATATTCTTTTTTTATTACAAAGGATAATTATATACTTTTATTATATTGTAAATATATACTTTGATTATCAAAGTTATTTTGATCATGATATGCAGCGGCTATACAATCCTTGAAAAGGAAGAAGTTGTTTGAGCATCAAATTGAGCAGCTAGGTAACTTTCAGTTGCGCATCCACGATCAGGTTTGTCAAATACTAAGGCCCCGTTTGGCATGAGCGTCAGAGATTAGCGTTAGCGTTTTGAAAAAGCTATCCGACGGTAGCCTTTAGCGTTAGCGTTTTCAGAATTAATCTGCACCGTTAAAATTTTATCCAAAACGCTAACGCTAATCGAAAAAGCTGTTACCAAACAAAGCCTAAATAATTACTTCGATCTTTTTCTGTCTCTAAAAAAAAACTTCTTACTCCGTATTTTTTTTGCTCATTTTCCCTCATTTTCCTCACCAAAATGAGAGAAATTTGGTTTTCCTTCTTCTTAATACATTTTGCCTTCTCTTTTTCTTTTCCTTTCACTTTTCTTTTCTTTTTCTCTCTAACCAAACAAGAAAGATGTTTTCCTTCTCATTTTCTTTTCCTTTTCGTTTCAAATTTCTTGAACCAAACATAGTGTAAATTTCTTCAAAATCAAAAGATCTCATGTTTAAAGGGACAGAGGGAGTATAAATGAGTTCGTATTATTCGTTTATTCTCCATAAATGGAGTGAGATTAGGATACGTCTCTATGCTGCATTTATACCTTGCTTATGCTTATTTTACTCAATTTATGACACCAAATGAATAATATTTTCAAAGAAATAAATATTATAAAAATTAAATTTGATATATTAAAATTCAAATATACTAAATTTATATCATCACTAAATATTTTCATTCCTAATTTTTTGTGAACAGGTCCAGAGGGAGACAGAAAAAGGGCTTTGACACGAACAAATTAAAGATATAATTATAATACACATAAGAAGTTTATAATATTATATACTCCGTAATTAAATATCGTAATGCATACCTTAAAAAGTTAAGTTTTCACCCTTTTAAAAAAGTGAAATTTGCACTAAATAGGACTAAAACATAATCACTTTCCTAATTTAGAACTTAAACTTTTTTATTCCTTAAATAGGACTTAATAATGTCTTCGTGGAAGGAATAATGCCCAGCAATGATAGACATTACTTGAATAATGACTAAAGAATAATGACCAAAGGTCCTACATTCGAAAATAAAAACATATGGTCCTATTTTGGGAAAGTCATTATGTTTTAGTCCTATTTAGGTAAATTACTCTTTAAAAAATATGCAATGGACTTTTGGTATATATTAAAAAAATTAAAACTATTACGCTCTAGAAAAAAGAAAAAAATGGACCTGAGCCGCTAGGGCACTTTGGCCCACCTGGTGGTAAAAAAATGGACCTGAGCCATGGGACATTTGCATTTTAGGATGGATTTAAAGGAGTTTATTTTGGTATTGAATTTCCAAAAATGTCCTTTGATGTGATGGGTAAAAGTATGATTTGATGGATAGATAATTAGTAAAAAGGTATGATGTGATAGTTAGTGTATGAAAAAGTAAGGGGTAAAAGTGACTTTTTAATAGAAATGAGAAGTGTTTTGTGGGACGGATAAAAAAAGAAAGGGGAAAGGTTTCACGGGACGGAGGAAGTATCAGAGTTTGATCAATAAAACAAATTATAATAATACGGAGTAATTCTAATTAAGATGGATAGAGTGTACTTAATTAATCAACTGGTTTGGTTTGGTTTGGTTTCATCAGATGATAATGTTAGAAGGAGCAAAAGCGACTTCTCAAACGGTCGAGGCTCTCAAAACCGGTGCTGCTGAAATGCGATCTATCCAGAGAACTTTGTAAGATCAGACTTTTATTTTGAAACACATTATATATTGTTAATACTTTGGTATATATTAATTTAATTAATTAATTAATTGTGATGAGGGAAGGAATGTGAAAAATGTGGACAAGACGATGGAGGAAATAAATGAACAGACGGAGAACACAAGGCTGATGCAGGAAGCTTTGGGTGCTCCTTTTGGTGTTGCATCTGACATTGATGAGGTCTCCATTACTTACTTTTACTCTACTCATTTTTAATCTATTTAATGGCTCCCCTCCTATGACCACTCTGTTTAAGTATTCACGGAGGGCATTGGACATTTACGATGCTCAGTTCGCAAAATTGATTGGTCCTACTATACCCCCTTAATTTTCCAGTAAACCCCATCGAATCCCGACCCCAACTCGTGCCCTACTCACGTCAAGTACGGGGTGCCAGTTTAGTTGAATTTGAGGTTAGAAAGGTAAGAACTCTCAATTGTGCACACTGGATACCGCAGGCGTTCCAATTGGGACAATGTCTTTTGTAGTAACTAAAATTCTAAAACTCTAAAAGAAAGTAGCTAGAAAATTAGAGTATAAAAGAATTGATATTTTTTACCTCCCTAACCCTGCCAGTAAACCACGCACCCAGTCTAATCTCAATCCATCCTCCTACATGCAATAATTGTGGAGTACAAGTTTAATTGATTTTTTAGGCCATGTCAAATATTTTAGTTCGAAATTCAACTAAATTTGCATTGCGCAATTGATTTGGATAATGAGATGAGCTTTAGTTCGGATGAGAGAGTTTACTAGGAGTCAAGAGATATGAATTATCAATTTTGCGACAGGAACATCGTAAGTGTCCCAATTGGGCATGGGACAATGTCTGTAGTCAATCAAAGAGAGTTGCCAGGAAACTCCAAAAAACAATGCTCTTTGATGGTTGTTGTTATATACTACTCTCTCCGTCCCTGAGTGTTTGTCCACTTTCATTTTTGTATACCATTCAATGCACTTCTTTAATCCATTTTATATTGTAATTTGTATATTAAAAAATTATAAAAATTATATATTAATAATCTATATGTTAAGACGAATCAAAAAATATCACACATGACTATTTTTAGGCTTACACATTGAGAGAATTTGATAAGTCAAAGTACTTAGATGAACAGTTCCAAAAGTCAAAAGTGGACAAACACTCAGAGACGGACCAAGTATTATATTACGCTGTATTTTGTGATGCACGATTGTGTTCAATAATAGGATGAGTTGGAGGCGGAACTTGAAGAACTGGAAAGTGCTGGACTGGAGGAGGAGTTGGAGGAGAGGCTTATTCAACCCGCAAAGAACGGCCCAACGATTCGACCGCGTATTTTAACCACGGGTAAACCGTCGTCATCAGCAACTTGTAAGCCATTTGTAAAGGGGAATCATCAGAATGACAAGAATGATGGTGATGATGATGGATTAGAAGAACTTGTTGAATTGCAGAGAGCAATGGCCCTTTAAACCTGCATTTACATACCCATATAACCCCGGCCCTTTCTTCTTGAGAACTCTATTGCTAGCTAGTTAATTAGATTCTACGGAGTACTTAATTACGGACTAATACAGAGTGCTAATCACTTTTACTGCAGTAATGAATTGTAAGCCAAGTCATTTTAATTACTTGTGATGATTTATTTCATCACTCAATTCATCAGCATCCAAAAGGAATAATTAATATGACATTTTACCCTCACCTAGGGATTTATTTGTATACTTTACCTTGATTTGATTGGATGTGGGATCACTCTGAAAACTTACATATTATTTCATCAAATAAGTAGCAAAGATAAATAAAGAATGTGAATTATATATGAACGGTAAACAAACAATTTAGTTTAGGAGTAGTGAGTGGTAGAAATAAGTTTGAAAATTTGAAAGGAAAAAGTGAGATGAAAAATGTTTTTTCTAGTTTGTGTAGGAAGGATAAAAAAGTGGAAAAAGATAAGAAAATGAGAAAAAAAATAAACTAGGACAAGAGAACGAAAATAAAATAAATTCTTTCCATCTTGATGATAAAATGTAGTAAAATAATGTTCCTTTTTTTCATTTTTAATTCCTTGAACTAAATATATAGCGTTAGACGGTTAGAATTCTTTGTCAATCTTTGATGCTTAATTCCTTTAGAAGATTGTAGTGTTAGTATAATATGTAATACGGAGTATTATTTTTTACTATATGTTTTCTTGGTGGATTTCTTTATAGAAAAATTCCCACTTCAATTTTTTTTCTTTTTCCTTTCAAGTTCTTTGAACCAAACATAGGTTACTTGTACTCCGTATATTACTACAAGTTGACAATTTAGTTAAAAACTTAGTTGATCGCTTTTCTCTTTTCTAGCTAGTATTATATTTTGTATAATTCCTCAACTGAGCAAACAAGTGGGCGTGCCGGAGTGGTTATCGGGCATGACTAGAAATCATGTGGGCTTTGCTCGCGCAGGTTCGAATCCTGCCGTCCACGAAATATTTTTTTTACCCGTAGTAAAATTTATTGTTTCCCTTTGCACTAATTTTTATCTATACTCCTATATAAAAGCAAAAGAATTGAGGAAAAAAAGAAATAAAAAATATGGTGTTTTTCCCGCCCAAGAATGCAGTGAAATCTGGCCGTCAATCTGATGTGTGTAATATCCGGCCGTTGGAATTTTATTCTCCAATGTGAACTGCATTAAATGCAATTACAACTCATGCTTTCTTAATTAACGGACTGCATTTTTTAGGAACATCTGTATTTATTAACACGGGGAAGACACATCGTCAGTTCAACCCAGGAATGAAATTATGTCGAGAGCGGTAGAACGCAGAGACGGTGGGTTAGGGTTTCAGCCCTAACCATGTACGACAATTATTAAGATGGATCCCAGGGAGGAGGTAATACCACATTCTTCTTTTTTAATTATTCAGAATTTGTACATATTTTTAAAGCAAGATTTTGGGTGTTAGAAAGGCAGATCGATTTGAAATTTCAAATAACTTTAAAGAACATGTTAGAGGCCCTCAATGAAGAATTTTAAGAATCAACTTTGGGATAAACATATTCTTTATATTATACGGAGTAATAAAAAATAATTGAGTATATATAGATTTCAATCCGTAGGAGTAGCAAGAAAAAAAAACCCTTTCTGCAATCTATTTTCTTGGCGTGCAGTGGATCAAGATTGATCATCCATTTAAAATTTGATAGTTTCCTTGAATTTACAAACATGAAAAGATCATCCAATTTCTTTCTCGATTTCATTTTTAGTCACTTTTACACTATGTTTGGTTCACGGAATTTGGAAAGAAAAGAAAAGAAAATGCTTTTGACTCATTTTCTTCGCTAGAATAGGAAGAATTTGATTTTTCTTTTACTTAGTACACTTTGCCTTCTCATTTTTTTCTTTCACTTTTCATTTGTTTTCTTTTTTAACCAAACAAGAAAAACTACACTGAGACATCTATAAAAAAAGGCTGTTGTTACAGTTAATTTTTCTTATTTGAACGTTCAGATTAAGAACCAGAAGAGAAGAAAAGAGTATTTGTTGGAGTTCCCACATCAGAAAATAAAGATGAGGATCACTAACATATATAGAACGGTGAAGCCCTAGCTATCAGCTTAAGCTTTTGGGTTAGAATTGTGGATCCCGACTTTATATGCAAGTGATTAATTTTACCCGACACTCTATCCGTTGTTCTCGGTTCGCCGGAATTTTAACAGTATTTTCTCCACTTAGTCCCTTTAATATTTACTCACCCAATGACGGTTTGAATTACCAATGATTCGAACATCCCAAGAAACCATCTATATACTTACTTCTATCTATATACAAAAGCAAAAGATTTTGGGAGTAACAAACAAAAAAAAGAGATAAAAAATCTAGACCATGAAACTCCCATCCATGATAAATTTATGGTTATAGTTGTGCTTTGGGATTGTTGAAAGAAATATGTGCCGCTCATCACCATTAATTTCTAACATCAATTGTCCTTTGAGATTGTTGAGGAAGACCTTTGCACTTCTCATTTTTCTTTGTTAATTAATGTATATGAACCGCTGCATTCTTTGCTGTAATGAATGAATATGAACCGAAAATTTAGATTGAAAAAGTCCATTCATTATTCTCTTATATTTTATATTCTCTTGAGTATTAATGGGGATTTCATTGATGATTCTATGAAAACATCATAATATTAATTTACATTTATTCGTTGCATTGAAAATAAATAAATAATATGATACGGAGTACAATTTTATTTATCTACAACTTTATATTTTTATATATATATATATATATATATATATATATGTAGTTTTTACCAAATACCAACTAATCAATTATTGTTTTAAACTATAATTATTAAAAGGACGAGAAATGATTTCTTCATGTACCAAATTAAAACAAATTTTATAAAATTAGTATTAAAAAAAATAAGACTGAGAACATACGCAGTTCACACAAAAAAACATTGCATCCAATTTAATGATTTAATCTCATAATTGTATGTGGAGTTAAAAAGTATATCCTTACCCATAATCTATTAACAAAATAAATGAAAAAAATAAAAATATTTATACCTTTATGTATTTCTCAAATAAATTTATTCTTTGATTCCAAGCTTCGTTGTAATTTTTTTGTGAACAAAAAAAACCTATGTTATTGTCAATTCAAACTAAAGAAATGATGATATATAATGAGTGATTTTTAAAATCTTTCTTGGCAAGCTAAAATAAATTCGTACTTATTAATTTATATCAATTTCTTAGAGCCAATATAAAAAATAATATATAAGGAGTGTACTTTTTAAAATGTTTTTTTGCAAGCTAAAAAAGAATCATAGTTATTAATTTATATTTATTTCTTGGAGTTAAAATAAATCAATGATATAAAAAATTTTGATATATATAATTGCAAATTAATTTTAATTTTCATTAGGTTTTCCATGTATCTAGAAATTTTAAAATAATTAAAATAAACCCTTTGATTAAATTTAAAAAACCTTTGGAGTATCATTCTTATTATTACAACTATAAAGCATTCAATGTTTTAATAAGTTTAATGTCTAGAATTTTCAATTTATTAATTTATATCAATTTCTTGGAGTCAAGATAAAAAACGAAATTATTAATTTATATTTATTTCTTGGAGTTAAAATGAATAAATTTCTTGGAGTCAAGATAAAAAACGTAGTTATTAATTTATATTCATTTCTTGGAGTTAAAATGAATAAATGATATAAAAACTTTTTATATATTTACAGCTTAATATATAACTGCAGATTAATATTAATATTCCTTATGTTTTTCATATTTCTTACATATTAATATTTTTTAAATAATTAAAAAAACCTTTGATTGAGTTAAAACATTTTCAACTATGAAGTTGTAAAAAACCTCTGGAGTACCTTTGTATTTATTTCAACCGGATGCATATAAAAAATTGTATAACTACACATTAATTAATATTACCAATGAGTCAAAAAACTTTTGGAATGCCATTCTTATTATTACAGCCGTAAAAACATTCAATGTTTTAATAAGTTCAAGGTCTAGACGTTTCTTTAAGTATTTCCTATATAAATTCATACACACTTAATCCCTTACTACTCCATTTCCCTACGAAATCCTTTAAAAATGTTACACTTCTACGACTTACACTGAAACTTGGAATCAATGGTAGACTGTGAGGAGATGTATATGGAGGTATTTTAATTTTTATATTGGTTTCAATAAGTATTTGTTTAGAGTATAACTTATTGATCATTACATAAACTCTTTTGAAAATTGTCATTTTAACTCTAGGAAAGTAGTAATTAAATGTTTAAAAACATACCTACCTCTTTTATTTATAGATTATATTTCCTTGGATATTTCTAATTGAAACCAATTCTGCATTGTCCTGTGAGTCTATGACAAGATAAATGACTTATGTCAAACAAAGATAAATGTGTGGGTGTGTGTTGTAAACTCACTCATTTTTAAAACCATTGCAAGAGCAGTTATCTTATTTTGGAATTGTTCTATATTTGAAAAAATATATATTTTAATTATGAAGCATAATTAAATAGGAAAGATATACTACTTTAATGACAATAATCACTGACTTTTTATATTCTCTTTTTTTACAGGTTTTTGGAGAGAATAAGCAATGTGGAATTTAATCGAAAACCAAAAAATTGAGAGAAAAATGTTTTTAAAAAATCTTGAGAGTAATAGTGATGAAGAAAATGACAGTCTGGACAAATATGTGGAACCAAAAGAAAAAAACTCACAATTAAGTGAAGAAAAAACTCACAAAAGAAAAAATTATTGATCCCAAGATCGCCATTAACTCCTTCAGATCCACGTATTCCTCTCAAATTTCAAAGAAGATATTTCTTATAATAGTTTCTTATGCAATGACCATTAAGTCATTAACAAAAGTCAGGACTAATCAACCCACTGGGAACCCTCCTCAGGGAGAGACTAGCGCCACCAGAGACCGTCCCCCTCCAATCAGCGTTTGTGATTTTAATGTCATCGGCTATTTTATATAATTGACTTTACTTACATCAGACAAGAATTCGAATAGACGAGTTATGGGACAACCTCTGATAGGGCCCAATGGGTAGAGCTCCTGACCGGGGTCGAGCTTATGAAAATCCTTTAGATTTTTGAAGGATTTTCGTGAACGAATGAATTCCAACACGTTAGAAGATTTTGACGTACGTATAAACGTCAAATTCATCCTAAAGTGCAAGAATCTCTTAGCGCGAACGTTTGTCCCCTTAAGCAAATGTTCATGGACTTTCAATTCTAACTCTCGTGCGAACCTTTGCATCCGTATGCAAATGTTCATGTCTGATTATAAATTTTCGACTCTATAAATAGAAATTTGCAAGTATGGTTGATACACTGGATTTTGAAGTGCTTATTCTTGATTAACGTTTTTTTCGATTAAAGTATTTTGGTATGTACCGAAGTAATTTTGATCTGAAAGCATTTTATGTGATTCATTAAGTTATATAGTCTTTCATCTGTTTCTTCATTCATCAAAGTCCTTAATGATGATTCATGACGTTCATCCTCCAAGTGAATTCTTAACAATGATGAAGGAGTTTGAAATAGACATGAACCACCATACATTTTTTTGTCTCAAAATGATTTTACTTACATAACATCCACATGGCAGAAAAAATCCATAAAGGACTTGAACGGAATGCTGATTGATGTACTATGCAAAATAAAATACTCCCTTGTGTTAAATTATTTACAACACTTTGAACAACGTGCAAAAAATCATCTTTTTAAAATTTATTTTATTCACAAATTGATAGAGAACTAAAAAATAAAAATTACATCGTTCAAAAGTGTATAAAAATTTTTACAAAACAAGATGTTGGAGTTCCCACATCGGAAAATAAAGATGAGTATCACTTGCATATATTGAAAGGTGAAGCCCTACCTATCACCTTAAGCTTTTGGATTAGAATTGTGGATTCCGACTTTATGTGCAAGTGGTTAATTTTACCTGACACTCTATCCGTTGTTCTCGGCCTGTCGGAATTTTAACATGGTATCAGAGCAGATCCGGTCTGGGTTTGATTGTTCCTGGTTGTTTTGATGTGGGTTTAGCAAAAATGAACTACCCGTCTGCGGTTTGGGCTGAGTTGGCTAAAAAGAGATTGAGATGCCACTGCCCGTTGTGTGGATTAGCTATAAGAGATTGAGATGCTAGACCCGTTTGTCCAAGTGTTATCAAGAGGCTGAATAAATGTGACATTCTTTTTGTGATTGATGGAATATAAAATGGTGTAAATTTAATATTCCATCCATCTCTATTTTCATTACAATTTTATTTTATAGCTGCTCTCGATAACTTTTATTTATTTGTGTGTTTTTATATATTAGTATTTGATAAAATAAAATATTCGTGTCACCTTTTACTTTGTAGAATTTTAGACGTAGCTTTTGAATATATAATTTTTATTTTTTGTTGATGTACTAATTTATAAATAAATGATATCCAAAAATGTGAAATTTCACATCATAATTTTCATTTTATAATCAAAATAGAAAGGAAAAGATTATTACTTTTTGGTGGATGCTGCCGAGATGTTACCAAGTGCCATAATGTCTCGAATTTAACTTCTTTTTAGGCTAATGGTAGGCCACGGGTAGAATTTTTTTGTTTTCTCCCGCAAAAAGATACGACTTGGAGTAAATCGGTAAATCCATCTACACGCAGCTGAGGAGTTCACATTTAACCTTACCATGGTTATTAAAATTTCACTCAAGAACGGTTAAACCCCACTCGCCCACCAATTTAAATATCAAACCCCCCCGCATCGCAACCGCCATTGATATATAACCCATTCAAACGCCAAATTATGATCAACTCAAAATGATGATCGGAGAGAAATTTCAGCTTCCAGATGCTCTGAATCTCGACGATCATTCCTCCTTCAGCCCTCCGGTCTCCGGCGACGTCGAATCGGAAACCGGTAAGGACGTTGACTTCCCGGCGGGGGGATCGCACTCGTGCGACGACTTCCGCATGTTCGATTTCAAGGTGAGGTGGTGCGCGCGCGGCGTGTCCCACGACTGGACCGAGTGTCCGTACGCTCACCCCGGGGAGAAGGCGCGGCGGAGGGACCCGCGGAAGTATCGCTACTCCGGCGCGGCGTGTCCGGATTACAAGAAGGGAGCCTGCCTGAAGGGGGACGCGTGCGAGTACGCGCACGGCGTGTTCGAGTGCTGGCTCCACCCGGCCCGCTATCGTACGCAGCCTTGCAAGGACGGGCTAAACTGCACCAGACGGATCTGCTTCTTCGCCCACGCGCCGGTTCAGCTCCGGGTTCTGAGTCCCCGGACGGCGTATTCCGGCTCCCCGTCGCCCGATTCGCCTCCCGCGTCCCCGATCGTCGCGGCCCTGCGGCAGGAATCGCAACTGAGCAGGTTCAATTCGTTTCCCTCCTCCTGGTCGCCGCCGATAATGGGGCCCGCGGCGAAGCAGAGGATCCGAACCGGTTTCTGGAGCACGCCGGCCACACCGACCGGGCCAATCGGGCGACCCGGATCGGGCCCATTGGATATCTGGGAAGAGGAGGATTGGGGGAAAGAGGCGGATGCTCCGATGGAGAGGGTGGAGTCCGGCAGGGACGTTAGGGCAAAGATGTTCGAGAAGATAGGGAAGGAGAATCCGCTCGACGGTCGGGACCCGAGATCCGACCCGTGCCCGGCCCGGTACGATGCCTTCAATCCTGACGTCGGGTGGGTCTCCGAGCTTGTCCAGTGAATTCTATTCTTAGACAGAAAAAGATGTCACCTATTTGTATTACTGTAAAATAGGGAGTATTATTATGACTCGCATTGTTACAATCATCTTTTTTTTTTCCTCCTGTGAATACTAAATATTGAGTATAAATACTTGGATTTATTGAATGATGTTTTTGTTTTCGTGTGGTGTGATGGATCACAACCATCACGTCATCTCACTCGACGCCACGGCAACATTTTTCTTTCTCCATCACAGTCCATCACACAACAAGAGTGTAAATCACTCCAATCACGTCTAATTTTTTAATGTATTTAAATGCAAATAACTTAATGATGAATATTATTAGGCTGATGGAGTGGGTTAGGAAGGCCCACGCGTGCTATGCTGAGCCTGATGTGGATAAGGGGTCTGATCCAAGACGGATAGGCCCAAGGACCGAATAGAGTCATGGACTGAGCCCAAGCCAAAGAGCTAAAAAAAGAGATGCGCGTGAAGCGTAATTTCCTTGATCTTGGAGATTTGGAGGAGATAGACGACAGCTTTCTCGTCCATAATGAAAGCACGATCGACCAGTCTTTCAAATAATACTACACAAGATCGACATGCCATGTACACGATAGCACTAGACTATAAATATGGGATGACTCCCTCATTATAAACCAAGCTAATACAAGAATTACTAAAGAGTATATCTATTATGAGTTTATCTTGTTTTATTCTGAGTTGTTCGTGCCGCCATAGTTGTTGCGCTAAATTCCATCACTTACAAGAAAAAGGTTAAATAAATATTTCATTAAAATTCAAATTTAAAATTACATTGACATAATGCAAAAAAAAAAGAAAGAAATAAGAGCGATACAATACTAGATTGAAAATAAAAAATGACAACTTGATTAATAAATATCAAAGGTCGCTGGCCAAGTTGTCTACCACACTTCTAAGATACTTCCGGCTAATCTTATCATTCATTATATTTTTAGTACAGTTGCGCGCTATCTGAACCTCATATCCTTTGTGCTCATTATGTACGCGCTCTAGGCGGAGTACCTCCATAACAGCTTGACTTTTCTGTCGAGTTTTGTCTACTTGCAATTTCTAAAAGCGGTCATGTTGGAGACAAGGTAGTCAATACTTTCTCGTTGGGGCCTAGGCACCTTTGAATATGATGCCCTCTTCCCTTTCGCCTTATCCCTACCCACAGGGAGTGTCACCTCCAGAGGGGTCGGAATGTCATCATCGTCGTTACTCAGCAACGCTGATATCCAACGAGCGTTGAATCTTTAGGGCTATTATAATCTCTGGACTTTGACATCTTGGTGTATTTCGCCCGAGAGACCTCATTTGACACAGGAGTCCACTTCGAATGCGCATACAATTTTTTCGCGCTTTCATGTGTGGAAAAGATGTATCATATCGGGTTTGGTACATTTTCAGCACCGTTTTTAAAACGACTTTCTCACTAACCCCGCTTTACCGAGAGAGGGTGGCAGAATTGTATATACCAGCGAACTTGTTGACTTTTATATTCAAGTCGTGGTATTTAGAGGAGATGGCGTCGACGCGGCGGTTCGGCTCGGCGTTCATTATGGTGTGGAATTTAGCAGTGACCCTAGCCCAAAAGTCATCCGCATTTTGGACCGTCCCTAAATGCCAAAAATATATATTTGTAAGTACAAAGAATTGTAAGTAAAAGTTGTAAGTAAAAAATTAACCTTTAATCCAGTCTTCAGAAATGTTCACCCATGCACAGGCCAATGCTTCCTCCTCTGATAGCATCCATGCTCGCTTGGCCCAGTGACTCGTGGACTCTTTATTGTGTACGGTCTTCCCTTTAGATTTTTGTGTACGTTGCGTTTCGGAACAATCTCAACATCGTTCCCCGAGACAAGTGTTAGTCCAAACGTTCCCGGAAACTGTTGAGAATTTTTTAGAAATTAGCGTTGCCACTCGATCAATTGCAAATAGTTAGGATCCATAATATGATTTTTTTTTGAAAATATTTAGAGAGACGAGAAGAATTTGAATATGAATAGGTTGAGAGAAAATGAGATTTTTAAAAACGTTGAGGAGATGTTTAAATAAGGAATTGAGAAAAATTTTAAAATTTGAGAACTAGCCGTTGAAATAAATACTGGGGGGGGGGGGGATTGCCGTGGTGGCCGTAATGGCTATCACTTCAATCACGGGCACGGTGATAGCTGATGGGGGCGGTTTTTCACGCTGTGGTGGATGTCAATGTTGCGCCAGGCGACGATCATGGCTCACCACGAGCTACCGTACTACACCCCACGGTGATGTGAGACTGCGTAGCTGCTGATTTGGAGTGAATAGTGGTTAAACATTACAGATAGCCTAATCAATCTTGAAAATTTCAACTTATGGGATTTGTATTTCAATTTTTTTGTTAACGAACTGCGTGGTGTGATTTTTGTTAATGCTCCCTAGTTGTGTGTCGTTTCTTCAATAATATGCACAAGCTCACAGTCTTTCAATAATCACCCGTGTTATATTTTTTGGCAATTTGTTTAAAGATTTAGCTTGCTATTCTAGATCTAGCCCAGAATATATAAGTTTGGTCCACTGATGTACACAGCCTTTATTATTTATTTTTATTGAAATTAAATGAGATTAAAATAGATTTGAATCTAAAATTTTTTAAATATAATTATAATCAATTCAAATTAGATTAATTAAAATCAGATTTTAATAACTGTGAGATGATATCCCATTAGAAGAGACAAATAAAACAAGCTCTTAATCCTTATCCTAGAGGTGCTTTGCAACGTTTCAACTTTGATGGCTTGAAAAAAAAACCGAGACAACGAGAAGGCGATAATTATTTTGTTTGTTTGAAAACGAGAAGCCGATAATATTGACAACAGTCACAACACAAAAATGGCATCTTTGTCAATGAGAATAAAGGCTTGGTGTCGTATGATAGTCCGGCAAAAACAAGTTCGTCCGTCAACTGATAAATTTGTGGACGTCTTTGTCATAATGATTATAAGTGGTTTATAGAATTATAGTCACCCACTCTAGCCAACCAAACTTTAATTTAGACCCTCGGACTAAAGGGTTCAGAATCACCAAAAGGGATACATCAATTCAAATTGTTGTATCTTGTTCGAACACCATACAAATACAGACACTCTGTAAATGTGAATCACTGACACCAGTATGTAAAAATAGGGTATACTCCGTATCATTTTGGCCCAACATTCTCTTAAGTTTTCTCTTTCTCATCACACTTTATTTCTTCCATCCCTAGCTTTTAATTTAGTTTAATTTTATACTCTCTCCGTCCCTAAATAAACTTTCCTTTTTGACTTTTTGAGGATTTAAGGGAGAGATATTTTTGTGTTGACTTTCCAAAAATACCCCTGATGTGATGTATAAAAGTAAGATGTGATATGTAAATTATTAGTAAAAAGGTATGATTTTATAGGTAGGGTATGAAAAAGTAAAGGGTAAAAGGAGTTTTTTAAGGGAAAAAAGAAGTTTATTTGGGGACAAAAAAAAAACGAAAGGGGAAGTTTATTTAGGGACGGAGGGAGTATTTCTTTTAATTAAAATTATTTAAATTAAAAACATAGAATAAATATTTGTGGATCTTCTTAAATAGCACTAAAGCATAATGACTTTCCCTAAATAGCATCACATGTGCTTTTTTCCCAATGTAGCACTTTTAGTCATTATTCATTAGTCATTATTCAAGTAAATATTCGTCATCACTGGATATTATGAACATTATTAAGTGCTATTTAGAGAATAAAATATTTTAAGTATTATTTAGGGAAATGACTTAAGTTTTAATGCTATTTAGTGCAAATATTTCTAAATATTTCATTCAAATTAAGTTTAAATATACAATATATGAACCAAGTGTGGTTAAAAAGGTGGATACTTAAATTTAAAAGTACCCCACAACGGAGATCAAAGATTTATTTTTATGAAAAAAAATCATTATTAATTTGAAGGAGAAAATGCCGATCACATGATGGCTACATGCATATAATGCTGATGATATATATGCATGCATGCATTACACTTTAGAGTATATAATTATATTATAGATCGAATATAATTTTATAATTTCTTGAAGGAAATGAGTTGATAGGATTTGGGGGAGGGTTTATCCCACACGACAGCCTCGTAAGAACGAACGCCGCCGTCTCCGCCGCCTCTTGCGTCAACGACGAGTCTGTACTTGATGCCCGCCACCACCTGCTCCTCTCCGCTCTTCACCTCTTCGAACTTTAAGCTATCATTCTCTGCTTTGTTGTGTGCCCCCACGGCGAACTTCCCGGCCGCCACCGCCTCCGCGCTTTTCGGGTCCACCGGCACCCACCCGCCTGGCCTGCCTAACGCCGCCGCCGCCGCCATGGAGCAGAAGAGCATTAGGGACAACACTAAAAGTGATGATGAGCGTGAGATCACTGCCATTTTCTTCTTCTTTTTCTTCTTCTCCTCCGAGTAAAATAAGATCGATGCTATAGATGTTTCTTTAATTTGGGGTTGGGTTGTAATTTATAGACACCCTTTTGGTAGTTTGGTGGAATTCATCAATTGCATTAACTGGTCTATTTATGATAAGATATGCAGATTAAGAAAATAACTAAAACTCCCAACATATATGCATGCATTTCTGAAATAGGGACAATATGCTTTATCACATGTGTTAGAATATAATATACTCCTAGGCAACAACTACAAGCTTGAACTTTTGATTGAGTTGATTCCTAGACATGGTATCAGAGCCTTGTTGACCAAGAGATCACAGGGTCGAAACTCATCACCACCCAATTTTAAAAAATTAAGGTTTTTCGTGCAAGGCTCAAAAAAAGAAAACGCTTACACGTGAGGGGCGTGTTAGAATATAAGAAACATTTCTTGGGCTACAACAACAAGTTTGAGTTTTTGGTTGAGTTGGTTCCTTGACAACATGCATATTCAGTTCACAGAGACATTTTTGTACATTTACTATGTTCACGTCGAACAAAAAAAGTACGACATCCTGATGACAAATGTCGACAATTTGCCCTTGAAGATTTCAAAAAATGAAAGAGAAATACTGATTGCATAGGTAGTGATTTAACTTTTGTGTTTTTAGTTCAAGTCATTTTGATTTTTTTAAATGTCCGCCTTTTATTTTCAATCTTACAATAACATTGTCATTTTTAATTTAGTGCCTGTTTGGGAATAACATTTTTAATTAGCGTTAGCATTTTAGATAAAATTTTAATAATGTAGATTAATTCTAAAAACACTGACGCTGAAAGCTATCGTCGGATAGCCTTTTCAAAATGCTAACACTAATCGAAAATGCTGGTGCCAAACGGGACCTTAATACTCCGTTATTGATGTATTTTTTTCTTCCTAAAAAGATATTTCCATTTAGATTTTTAAGAAATTTAAGAGAAGGATATTTTTTTGTTAATATTTCAAAAATATCCTTAATGTAATTGGTAAAAATAAGATGTGATGTGTAGATTATTATTAGTAAAAAGATATAATGTGATAGGTAAGTTAAGAATTAGTAGACGTAAATTAAAAGTGATTTTTTAATAGGAATGAGAAAAATAATGTGGGACAAGTATAAAAAGAAAGGGGACAAGGTCTTTGGGAGGGGCAGAGTACTACACTTATTTTATGTTTTTTGTTTAAATAATTTTTCCGTTTTTTAAAATCCTTCCTCTTTCATTTTTTTGTTTTTCTTAAAACACTTCCCCTTTCTATTAAAAAACCACTTTTACCCCTACTTTTTTATACCATACCTATCACATCATACTTTTTCACTAACAACTAAACTATCACATCTTACTTTTACCCATCACATCAAGGGCAAAATTGGAAAGTCAACTACAATTTAACATTCCTTATTTTCCCCCAAAGTCAAAAGAAGAACTCTTTTGAGAAACGGAGGTAATATGTGAAAAGAGAATATTAAGATTAAAATATAAAGGAAAGTGAATGCGAATGGAACCGCACCTCGGAAATGCGACGGAATGCGAAATTTGCATTAAATAGGACTAAAACATAAATCATTTCCCAATGTAGGACTTAAACTTTTTTATTACTTAAATAGAACTTAATAATGACTAGTGAGATGAATAATGTCCAAATGATGCTGGATATTTAGTTGAATAATGACTAATAGATAATGACTAATGGTCCTACATTGGGAAAATAAAAACATATGGTCCTATACTGAGAAAATAATTTTGTTTTAGTCCTAGGTAAATTACCCAAAATTATATTGACGAGTCGGGAGAGGAAGGATTGAGGGGAACAATAATACTCAAGTCTATCTTTGTTGGGTCACGAGCTCATCATTCATCAAGAAACAATATACTCCATCTCTTTCTGACTATTTGTTCAGTTTTGATTTTTTAATCAATTGTTTAACCTTTGATCAATAATTAAATACTTCATCCGTTCCGTAAAGATGTTCTCTTTCTGACTTTTAGAAAATTTAAGAAACGAATATTTTTGTGTTAATTTTTCAAAAATATCTTTCATATAATGGGTAGAAGTACAATGTGATAGGTAGATTATAATATTAGTAAAATATACTCCCTCCGTCCCAAAAAGCCTGTACCGTTTCGAAAAAATTAAGTTCCTTAATAAAGTTCGTCCCATTTATATTAAAAAACCACTTTTACCCCTTACTTTTTCATACCTTACCTATCACATCATACCTTTTTTTCTAATAATCTACCCATCATATCCTACTTTTACACATCACATCAAGGGTATTTTTTGAAAAGTCAACACCAAAATATCTCTCCTTATTTGACCACTTTAGTCAAAATGTCCCAATCTTTTTGGGATGGAGGAAGTATGACTTGATAGGTATGTGAATAATTAGTAGGAGTAAAAGTTATTTTTTAATAAAAAAAGAAGGATTTTGTAGGACAAGAAAAAAAAGGGAAGAAGTTTTTTGGTACCAATGGAGTAAAATATACCTAAGTATTTTGCATTTTAATTAGATAAAATAATATTTTGAAAATATTTAACATAATAAATCATACACCCTCCGTCCCATAAAACATTTCCTGTTTCAAAAAAGGCGCACTCTTAAAATGAGTAATTTTGGTGTTATTTTCTAATTTTGCCCTTACTTCTTAAAAGAGTAGAATGAGATGTGTAGAATAGATTAGTCATAATTAAAAAATAACACTAAAATTACTCATTTTAAAGGCGTGCCATTTTTGAAACAGGAAATGTTTTATGGGACGGATGAAGTTAAAAAACTATTTAGGTATCAATATTTAATATCATTTTTATATTATTTGAGGTCAATGTTTACCAATTTGAACTGAATTGGAAGAAATTAATAGTAGACAAACACTCAGGAATGAAAGAAATAATAAGAAAAACTTATACTCCCTCTGTCCCGTAAAACCTTTCTCTTTTCTTTTTTTTATATATCCGTCCCACAAAACACTTCTCATTTCTATTAAAAAGTCACTTTTATCCCTTACTTTTTTATACCCTAACTATCACATCATACCTTTTTACTAATAATCTATCCATCATACTTTTACCCATCACATCAAAGGACATTATTGAAAATTCAATACCAAAATGCACTCTCCTTAAATCCCTCCTAAAAAGCAAAACTCCCATGTTTCACGGGACGGATGGAGTAATTAGTAAATTGTACTCCCTCCGTCCCATGAAACATGAGAGTTTTGCTTTTTAGGAGGGATTTAAGGAGAGTGTATTTTGGTATTGAATTTCCAAAAATGTCCTTTGATGTGATTGGTAAAAGTATGATTTGATGGATAGATTATTAGTAAAAGGGTATGATGTGATAGTTAGGGTATGAAAAAGTAAAGGGTAAAAGTGACTTTTTAATAGAAATAAGAAGTGTTTTGTGAGACGGATAAAAAAAGAAAGGAGAAAGATTTTATGGGACGGATAAAAGCTTTAGTTGTAATTAAAAAAATCCAATCGAAAGAATTTATTTGTGGATGGAAGAAATGCGTACATTACATGCATGCATGCATTATACAATTACGTATGATTGTACTCCATAAGTTATACTCCGTTCCCTAATTGCTTGAAAGAAATAAGTGAATATGAATCGGGCGAAGGCTTAGCCCAGACGACAGCCTCGTACTGATAAACGCCATGTCCGCTCCTCGCGTCAATGACGAGTTTGTATTGGAAGCCCGCCACCACTTGCTCCTCCCCGCTCGCCACGTCTTCGAACCCCAAATTGTCATTTTCTGCTTTGTTGTGCGCATCCACCGCGAAATTTCCGGCCGCCACCACCTCCGGGCTCTCTGGGTCCACCGGCACCCACCCGCCCGGCGCGCCCAATGCCGCCGCCATGGAGCAGAAGAGCATCAGGGACAACACTAACAGTGATACTGATGAGCTTGATGAGACCACTGCCATTTTACTTTTTTTTTTTCTGATCTGAATTTTTATAGACACTATTTTGGTAGTTTGGTGGAATTTCTGGTGCATTGCATGAACGTTTGTAATTACTCGCCCGTCATAAATTAATTTATGGTTTAAATTAGATATACAGATTTAGAAAATAACTAAAGCTCAAGACACATACATGCATTTGTGAAAAAAGAATATCCCCACCCGGCCACTATGATCTTATCTATCAGCTGACAAGTTTTATCAAATCAAAGAGAGCTATACTAATGTCATGTTCTCTTTATCTGATTTGATTAGTTCTGATCTGATTAGAATAAGTTTTAATATGATCCGATCTGATTTAATCTGATTTGAATATAGTTATACTCCCTCCGTCCCTAAATAAACTTTCTCTTTCGTTTTTTCTTTGTCCCTAAATAAACTTCTCTTTTCCCTTAAAAAACCCCTTTTATCTCTTACTTTTTCATACCCTACCTATCACATCATACCTTTTTACTAATAATCTACATATCACATCTTACTTTTACACATCACATCAAAGGTATTTTTGGAAAGTCAACACAAAAATATCTCCCTTAAATCCTCAAAAAGTCAAAATAAGAATAAGTAATAAGTAAAAATGACTAATGGCGAATATTGAAATTGTTTTATTTTCTAAATAGACTAAATAATGTCCAGTAATGGCGAACATTTACCTGAATAATGACTAATGGATAATGACTAAAAGTGCTACATTGAGAAAAAGCACATGTGATGCTATTTAAGGAAAGTCATTATGTTTTACTGCTATTTACGTAAATATCCCTTTTTTAATAATGTCTTGTTTTACTTGAATTGTGTAAAACATCATTTTTCTCAAAGGCAGTGTATTTTTTAATTTTCTATTACTAATCGTTAGAGTAAAAAGGACTTTTCCTATTTAGAGAAAAGTGTTATGTTGAAGTCTCATTTACGTAAATGATATTCTTCTTGACTTTTTAGAGTTAAAATTAGAAAACTTTAACTATATATAATGATTAATCATAGCGGAGTGTAATATTAAAATTTAATACTACCTCCGTTTTTCAAAAGAGTTCCTTTTTTGATTTTGGGGGAAAATAAAGAAGTGTTAAATTGTAGTTAATTTTCTAATTTTGCCCTTGATGTGATGGGTAAAAGTAAGATGTAATAGTTTATTTGTTAGTGAAAAAGTATGATGTGATAGGTAGAGTATGAAAAAGTAGGGGTAAAAGTAGTTTTTTTAATAGAAAGGGGAAGTGTTTTAAGAAAAACAAAAAAAATGAAAGAGGAAGAGTTTTAAGAAACGGAGGGAGTATCATTTGATTCATCTTGAAATATACTACCTCCGTCCCGCTATATTTGTCCACTTTTGACTTTTGGAACTGTTCATCTAAGCACTTTGACTCATCAAATTCTCTCAATGTGTAAGCCTAAATATAGTCATGTGTGATCTTGTTTGATTTATCTTAACATATAGATTATTAATATATAATTTCTATAATTTTTTAATATATAAATTACTCCATCCGTCCCACTGTCTTTGTCCACTTACCTTTTGGCACATCATCCAATGCACTTCTTTAATCCATTTTATCTTGTAATTTGTATATTAAAAAATTATAAAAATTATATATTAATAATCTATATGTTAAGACGAATCAAACAAGATCACACATGACTATTTTTAGGCTTACACATTGAGAGAATTTGATGAGTCAAAGTGCTTAGATGAACAGTTCCAAAAGTCAAAAGTGGACAAAGACAGTGGGACGGAGGTAGTACAAGATAAAATAGATTAAAGAAGTGCATTGGANGTCCCACTGTCTTTGTCCACTTACCTTTTGGCACATCATCCAATGCACTTCTTTAATCCATTTTATCTTGTAATTTGTATATTAAAAAATTATAAAAATTATATATTAATAATCTATATGTTAAGACGAATCAAACAAGATCACACATGACTATTTTTAGGCTTACACATTGAGAGAATTTGATGAGTCAAAGTGCTTAGATGAACAGTTCCAAAAGTCAAAAGTGGACAAAGACAGTGGGACGGAGGTAGTACAAGATAAAATAGATTAAAGAAGTGCATTGGATGGTGTGCAAAAATGAAAGTGGACAAATATAGTGGGACGGAGAGAGTAACTTTCAAATACTCTGTTTACGGTTACTAATAATTTACATTTTACCCTAAAAAAGTACGACATCGTGATGACAAATGTCGACAATTGTCCTCGATGGAGTGCACGGCGATTCAAAAAATGAAAGACATATTGCGTAGTGATTTTTAATTCTTTAGCGACTATTCGTATTTTTATACTTCGTATTTCTTAAGTACACATTTTTTTAATAATTATACTTTTAAATTTGATATTGATGAGACTTTTATGTTTTTAGTTTATTTAAGACATTTTGATTTGATTTTTTTAGGTCCACCTCTTTTTTTATATCGTACAATAACATTGTAATTTTAAATTTAATACTCTGTTATTAATGAAATACTACATTCATATTATGTTTTTGTTTAAATAATTGTAGTTAAAATAGATGTTAGAAAAGAATATTAAAATTAAAATGAAAAAGAAAGCAAATGTGAAGGGAACTACACCCCTGAAACGCGACGGATCGGAAGGGATACGAAATAGAAAGTTGTATTGACGTGACGCTGAGTCGGGAATAAAAAGGATGGAGGGGAACGATACTCGAGTCTAATAATATCTATCTTTGTTGGGTCACAAGTTCATCATTCGTCAAAAAAATAATATACTACCTCTGTCTTGAGTATTTGTCGAGTTTTTTTTATCAACTATTTTCAATTTTTGACCTATAATTAAATACTTTCTAGCTCCGTCACATAAGGATGTTCTCACTTTGGCTTTTAAGAAATTTAATGAAGGAATATCTTTGTATTTATTTTCCAAAAAAATCTTTCAAATGGTGGGTAGAAATAGAATGTGAAATGAAGTGGCGGACCCAAAGATTTTCAGTCATGTGATCCTGTTTGTGAATTATTTTATGAATACACTATCTATATATAACATATCGTGCATTAAGCAAAACTAAATTTTTTAATTGAAATGTCTAAATATTGGTGTGGAATATAAACATAAAAATGAAACATTTAAACATAACATAAAATATTTTATAAAACGAAAGATTTCATTACTATATTTTTAAAAAAATGATAGATGAAAACATGTAAAGGAAGAATATCTAATTATATCTTGAGAATAATGGACAAGGCAAACATATCGAAACGATGCATGTGAGTAATCAATAAAATTATATTAAGCAGAAAAATATTAAATTTAATTGGAAATATATAATTGTATTTTAATGTGAATATAAATTACTCCGTATAACTTATAAAGAGTAATCGTTAGCGTCTCCTTTTTTATATTTTAAAATTGTCTTATTATAACATCATCAAAAGAGAAGAAAACAAAAAAAACAAATTAAAAGAAAAAAACGAAATAGAAAAGCTTTTGTTGTAATTAAAAAGTGAGATTTGCACTAAATAGGACTAAAATATAATGACTTTCCTAATATAAGACTTAAACTTTTTTATTCCCTAAATAGGACTTAATAATGACTTAGTGGGAGGAATAATGTCCAGTAATGATGGACATTTACTTGAATAATGACTACTTGATAATGACCAAAAGTCCTACATTAAGAAATAAAAACATATGATCCTATATTAAGAAAGTCATTATGTTTTAGTCTTATTTAGGTAAATTTCTCAATTAAAAAATCCAAATGAAAGAATTTTATTTCATTTGGATTATGGGGCATTGCGTATTATACAATTACGTATAATTACACTCCGTAAATTATAATTGCTTGAAAGAAATAAGTGAATAGGAATTGAGCCTGGAGCGCTTAACCCAGACGACAGCCTCGTACTGATAAACGCCATGTCCGCTCCTTGCGTCAATGACCAGTTTGTATTGGAAGCGCGCCGCCATTTGCTTCTCTCCGCTCGCCACGTCTTCGAACACCAAATTGTCATTTTCTGCTTTGTTGTGCGCAACCACCGCGAATTTTCCGGCCGCCACCACCTCCGGGCTCTTCGGGTCCACCGGTTCCCACCCGCCCGCCGGCGTGCCCAATTCCGCCGCCATGGAGCAGAAGAGCATCAGGGACAACACTAACAGTGATACTGATGAGCTTGATGATATCACTGCCATTTTACTTTTTTTCTGATCTGAATTTTTTTCTTCTTCTCCTCTGGGGATTACAATAGGATTTTCGAGGCTGTTTATGATTTAATTTACTTCGTTTTGGGGTTTTGAGTTTCAATTTATAGACACCATTTTGTTGGTAGTTTTGTGGAATTCGTGATGTATTGCAGTCACGTTTGTAATTACTCGGCCGTTATACATTAATTTATGGTTTAAATATATACAGATTAAGAATAGAGTAAAGTGCATTGTTTACCCGTACTCTTTAGAAATTGCATGTTTTACCTCTGAACTATAAAAATTACACTGTTTACCCTCGAACTCCTTGAAAATTGCACGATTTACCCCTGCATACTAAAAAATGCACCAAATACCCTTGAACAAATTAAACCGTTGCATCGTTGGTCCTAAACTATTAGATAGGGAGTGCGTTGCTTCCACGCACAACAATTGCGAATATAATTCATCTGACCCTTGTGATTTTTCCAAAGTACCTTTCCCCAAAATTGTCGTCTT